TCGTTGCATTTATCGTTGCATTTATCATTGTATTTATCATTACATTCATCGTTGCTTTTATCATTATATTCATCATTACATTCATCATTACATTTACCATTGCATTTATCACTGCATTTATCATTACATTTATCACTGCATTTATCACTGCATTTATCATTGCATTTATCATTGCATTTATCATTGCATATATCATTACATTTATTACTGCACTTATCATTGCATTTATCATTGCATATTTATCATTAAATTCATGATCACACTTTAGATGAACCTTAATAGAATTGCAGTAGCGATAATTACAAGAGAAATGATTACATGAAAATGATTTAAATAGTTTCCTGCACAGAATGTGAGCCACGATATTACACGCGATTTTAATAAGCAATTATCCAGTAATAGCGTCGACAGAATCTTAATTAGCCTGTGCCTCGGCATACGACAGAAAGGAAAATAAGAAAAAGTGAAACACGTCTAGAGACGATCGGAAAGAATGTGTGGAACGTGCGATGGCTCTCCAGAATAATTCGAAATGTCCTCGCAAACGAGGTGACTAATACTGCGGGACTTTCTCACGCTTGAAAGTGGTTTACGAATCGATACCAATACCGATGCCGATGCCGGTGCCGACCGTCGACTCGTGCAACATTTATTCGGATCATTTGATATTTAACGGCGGGAATTAAATCGTCAGGGTTTGACTAATTCAGCAGCATCGCGCGCCGCGAGTGCCGGAATCTCATTAGCACGACATTTCGTCTGTGAATCCGCGATTTCACCATTTTCAGATTCATGTTCTGGGCGTTGAAGTGCAGCAAAAGTGAATGCGAAATTGAAAAACGTGAACCACTTTTCGGAGGATTAATCGAAACTCTGAAATATCCTCAACGATCGGCGATTCGACGACCAACTATAACGATGAACTACTGTTTAGTGTTAGCCTATTATTCGTATAATGCGAGGTTTTATGGAACCTCAAAATTGTCCGGTTTAATTATATATTGAAGCTACGTAGACATATTTCGTTTTTGGTCGATCATTCGAATGAATGGAAGTAACAAAGTTCTCTTTCTGTTTTGCACTTGATATGTTCATGTCTATCAGAAAAGCAGAAAATGTTCAATCACCTTGTTAACGACTGTTTTGGTTATTACTTTGGACAGAAAGTTTTGGAGATTTCAAGAGAAGTGGCTTCATTAAATTGTGCTTTTCGTTCATATCATCTCCTTTGGAGCATTCATGATCACCAGACTGCGGATCTCTGGGCGACATAAACATGTTCTACGTCAATCTTGGAAAAAAATATGACGATAATACATTGAAAATAATATGACGATATTTTTTATTCTACTAATGTTTTTGCTGTTTTGCGTCTTATCCAATCGCTTTTGTCATAATCACACTGTTTGATAATCACTATATCGACGAACAGACTAGACATTCGACCAATTTGATAATCATCGTTTCTATGCCAAACTTGCTAACGAACTGATAAGAATGAAGGAAAACACGAACCGAGAAAGCATAATAATGTAAACGTTGTAACAATTAAAGTGAATTCACGTAACTACTGTGAGATATTGTTCCGTACAAGTGGAATCATTAATTGCGAGGAACGAATGACAGCGCAACGTCAGATAGGACGACAATAATGGTACACGAACAAGGATAATATAGTTCCTTGCCCGATGGCGATAAGATCGCGTGTTAATTAAGACACTCTCTGTGAGAATATCTTTCGTCATTCATGGATACTCCAACATCAAATGATGGAATCGGTGGCAGCTGAACTCGAGAGGCGAAGGTAAAAAATGTGTACAGTGAATTCTCCCTAATTTTCCTTGAGCTTGTAAACAAAAATGGACAATTTGGGAAGAGGAGATTATTATATTCGAATAATCGTATTTGGGAAGAGGAGATACAATTATTCGAATATAACAATTACAAAAACGAAGTGCAAGAGTCGGATAATCATATCTGCTCTTCTGGTATTTTTAAATAACACTTGTTCAAATTTTCTGGACAAGTATGACAATAATCAAGCAAGAAACAAAAATGGACGATTTGGGAAGAGGAGATATGATTATTCGAGACTCGCGGCTCATTTTTATAATCGCCGATTGTCAACAATTATAAAAACGAGGTGCAAGCTCCGAATAATCGTATCTCCTCTTCTCAAATTGTCCATTTTTGTTTACAAGCTGAAGGGAAATTAGGGAGAATTTACTGTATACGCAAAAATGAGGTTAAATGGCACGTCTACCAATCGAAATATTCTATTATGTATAGTTGGTATTGCTTGTTTCATTTTCTTCATTTTTCATAAGCCGATATCTGTATTGAACTCTTAAGTGCCATTGATAGCTTTATTTACCGAAAGCCTCTTAACGGAGTTTTCGTTAATAAATAAAATATCAATAGAGCGATGTTCGGTAATCACGAACGAAATTATTGACGCTGTGCCGGTCAGAACGACCGATTCCGCATTTTTCACTCTAAAATTGTTAAAATTGTAAGGATTTCTCCAGAGAAAATGATTGAATAAATTTCTTAATCAAAGGGTACATTGTAATAGAATTGAGGAAAGATCTAAATAAATGGAAAGGTCTAAATAAATTCATTCTTATAAAGCAACGAAAGTTTTTTTCAGTTTTAGTGTTAGTGTTCGTGTTTTAAGTAGGTTTAATGTTATTATATAGCGTGCCTTTAAAAGTGCGTAAAATAAAGCTGATGTCACAAATAAAAATGTACTAGCGAACGGTGCGACGTACAATAGAAAAATATGATAAATAATTATACCTATAACTCAAACCCTGTAATTCAAACTTGTTACTTGTGTGTAAAGGACTCAGAATGGGAAAAGTGGACACTTAACTTGAGAACGTGTTTAAATACCGTCAAATAATTGCCAGTAGATATTTATACTCATTTGCCAGATAATATCGTAATATTGCGCTCGAATGAAACAAACAAAAACAGGCGAATTTTCAGATAACGGTTTACCAAAAATAGATCACGCTGCCGAATTATGGAATGTTGGACAGAAGTCGAACTAATCCCATAAATGTCGAGATGTTAATATATATTTGTGGAATATAAAATTAGTAATTAAAATTGTACTAATTTTTGAAAGTTATCGCTATCTTCTGATTCAATATTTTCTCTTTCGAATCTGCAAATCATTGGAGATTCTTAATTGAAATGAATTTCTTCGTTTGCTTGTAAAATATCAATTTTACAATAATTTTATAATTTATCAATTCATCGAAAAGAAAATGGATAATATATCCAGTGTAGCAGTTTGTCACAGAGAATAATTATATAACAACGTAATTACAATACCTTCTTGGAAACAACCAAAACTATAGCCTATTTTGAGTCGTTTCTCATTTTTAAATCAATTTTTTAAGAAATAAAGCGTTCCTTAATTGTAAACTAAAACAATAAGCACTATCGAACACTTGACAATAAATTACTACATGCATTGAACAAATCGATTGGTTTTCTAGTAATTACGTTGGAAAGTATATTTGTGCCGTTTAAAGCGAAAGTGGTTTAAAACATTTTATTGCTAGGTTGAACAATTCAATAAAAAGCACTTAATTCAATATTTTGTTTTATTTCTTTTCTTATCATTTTTTAAGTTAAATCTTGAAAGTGACTATAACACAAAGGAGTTGTAACAATTTGTTACGTATACGCATTTCACATAATTTTGAATCAATGCTTCGCTGTTCACGACTTCACTTTTTCGACTTACAACTGACTCGCACCATTTCTGCTCTGAACGGCTCGTTCGATAGAAACTAACGGTCCATCGATGATGTGGGAATTAATGTCCGAGCAATTTACTTGAAAATCGAACAGCAATTTCTCGTTTATCACCGCGCGTCTTGTTGTTTCTCGACGGGGATCAACGCTGCGATAGGATAGCTGTTCCGCGAATACTTTCTTGGCCCGCCGTAATTGAATCACGGCGGCTGGTCGGATCGCGGGACCAAGACAACAAACCGGCTGATTGAAACAACCCTGCCGTGGCCCGGTCGTAATCCCGCGATCAAACAGCTTCCGTAGCGTGGATCGAAAACGTTTTAGCTCGCGCGGAATAATCAGCCGAATGCCGACGGGTCTCGAAACTTCCTAATAAATCGGTTCTAGCCGAGCGGTGTACTCACAGTTCGAACGTCTCGAAGTCCACTTTGCAGCCCGTTGAAGCCAGCAGTCGGTCACAGGAAGTGGTTGAACATCGACAGGATGAACCGGAGCCGTGGATCGATAAACCGGCACGGCCGGAGAACTCGATGGAAATCGCAGCGGACCGGAAGACGCGCGATAGAGACGACACCAGCTCGAACCGTCTCGAATCAGCTTGAATCGTCTCGGAGACTGGAGCGGATCGGATCGGATCGGATCGATGAGTTCCAGGGAACTTTGACGATTAATTCGCGAGCTTTAGCGAGAATGCGGGCCCATTGGCTCGCCGAGATTCGCTCGCTATAGTCCTAACGACTGACACACACTGGCTGACCGTTGGCAAGAGGGGGCCAGCTTCTCCCGGCCGTGGCCACCGTCGGGCCCCCTTCCCAGCCGGCGCTCGAGACAATTCAGAGGAAGAAAGTAGGCTTCGGCTGACCCTTCTTATTCCGTGGATCGACTTCACTATTACTTGCTACGAAAACAGACGCTCGAATTGGATCGGGCTTTCCACCTGTGCCGTGGAAAGTTATAACACATTGCGTGGACGCGTGATGCTCCGATGTGGAACCGATTCCCTGTCCGCCGGTCGTTTCGACAGTGATCGATTCCGGAGCATTTAACCGGCTTGTGATTAACGCGGCGAGGGTCGCCGCAGCGGTCAGGTCCCCGTAAAGTATAGCGTTCGGACTGCAAAATTTTTTATCCAAATCTCCGTGCGTTTGCGGGGATTCTCCCTGCCGCGCGCACTTGAATGCAGGTATTCGCTTCTTTTTTTTCTTAGGCACGAACTACGGCTCGAATAAAACTGTACGAATTTTCAGTTGATTCTGATTAACAGTTGTTTTTGGACTTCTGACTTTTCTGTTCTGAGAATGTAGTCACAATCGTGCGAATCCAATGAACGGAAAATGTTTACTTTTTCGAGAATGGGAGGTGAACCCCGTAACGGTTCTGCTTCGAGTAAGTTGAAGCACTTTCGAACTTCGCCGTAGCGAACTTGACGAAAGACAGATTTGAACTAGATTGAAATGTGTTGTTAAGGATGTTGTGTTTTACGGACATTTTGAACAGTTACTTTCTTTAGCTTAATAGGCGGATGGACTTAGTTTTCGACATATTTGGAACAAACTGCCAGTACTGGTGCGTCGAATGCTATTTATACAGAATGTCCCAAAAATGTCTCGTAATCTGGAAAATGGGGGTTCCTGAGATCATTTGAAGTAACTTTTTCCTTTAAAAAAATGTTCGCCGAGGCATCGTTAACGAGTTACTAACGAAAAACGCTGACCAATGAGAAGCGAGCTTGGCTGGCGCGAGGCGGCACAGCCAACGGGCGCGCGAAGCCCAATTCTGTTCATTGGCTCGGCCGCGCCAGCGCCAGCTGATCCCGCCTCTCATTGGTCACTGTTTTTCGTTAATAACTCGTAAACAAAGCCGCGGATTGCACTTTCGCTGAGGAAAAGGTTACTTCAAATAATCTCAGGAACCTCCTATTTCCATTTTTGGGACATCTTGTATTTGTGCGTCTGTGATCGCGTACGCATCCGCATTGGTTGCTCGCCGCTGTATAGTCCGTTGCTTAATGGAAAAAATCCTAAAACTCAATATTGTTTCTTCTTCGATGATGTATAATATGATTGTAATTTCCACGTCGTTTAGGAGAAAGGGGGAGAAAGAGAGAGAGAGAGAGAGAGATACAATTTATTTATCTTTTATTCATCATTCTTCCCCCTTGTTATGTTTGAGTGTTTCTAACGTCAAATCGTTGAAAATACACGGAAACAAATATAAATTTTAATGAATTGTTCAATTGAAGGTATTAAACACTCTTTATTTTGATTGTAAAATAGTTTAATTACTTATCGCGTTACTAATGCTAAGTAAATTGAAAATTAGCATAAACTTTTATACTTTACTTCAGTATGCTCTGTTAGGAAGTAAATATTGCTTCAGAAATTTTATCAATCAAATGCAAAATAACTGTAAAAATTGAACATTAATGACAGAATCAAAGTGTTAATGTAAAAGTTAACTTAAAACAGAAGGAGAAATAATTCAGAAGTTTTTCTAAGTCACTTGTATTGATAAAAGTTTACTGTTAAATTATAGATAAATCCATTCCGGTCATTATTTTGGAAATAAATGAGCGTGAAGACTAGGGTCGATGTCGTTGTGATCTATGGGGTCGGGGAAATCGCTCCTGTTCTGCGATTGCTATCAGGGATTTTGGTCTCGATAGAGCATAATATACATAGAGCGCGCAACGTTAGTGAGAACTGCAGATAGGAAATTTGTAGTATGCTTTGTGTATGCGCGTAAAGATTTACAAATGGAAGCATCCTATATGATCTCGATGATTTTATGAATATATTGTCAAGGTTAGACAATATAGTATAAAGCGAAGATTTTACTTGGCGGCTGTTGTTTCTTAATATTATTATATATAATGTTCATTTTTTTCTGTTATCAATACTTGATCATTAGAATTAATGCAGACATACAATAAATATAAATTCTCTTTTTAAATCCTGTTTCTTTTACATTCTATATTTATACATGTATAGTTACATTATTCATAATTTTTTAATTTGTATATTAATATAACTTTAAAATTAACGGAATTTTTATTTATTTAACATTAACACAAATGTTTAGTTTCTATAAAAACTCGCAAAACACCACTATAAACATACAAATAAAATAAAAATTGAATTTTGCCAGTCTAAACAATTTTATTTGGAAAAAACGAATTTTCAAATGACGAAAAAATTATTAATTAAATATTATGCATACTAATAAATTTTTGTGGATCCTCCTTCGCATGTAATAACAACCATCATTCTGTTTGACAATGATTTATGGAGGTTTTAATAGTGTTTTTGCTCTAATTGCTTCCACTCTAACGGAATACATTTTTTTTTTCATTCAGCATTGTTTCCAACTTTCCATTTCCATATACTGCTCGATTAGGAACTCCGCAACAATTTTCAACGAATTAAGGTCAGGTAGTGTTTTGCTGACGAATCCAAAATGCGAATTTTTCTCGAGAGAAGTACTCTTTTACTACTTTTGCAGTGTGTGCTGCTGCATAATCCTGCTGAAAACTAGAGGATGTCCCTGAAAGTATGTACAGGCGAGCACCAGGCGATTCCTCATAAAAAAAATATGAAAAGAATATACAATGACTTTTCTTCTTTGGGACTTAGTTTTCGAGAAAATCGAGTTTGAATATTGACAAAACAAAAGCTGTGCTTTTTTACGTAGAATATGATTCCGAAATAAAATAACATACGTTTATGATGAAAGAAAAACGAGATGACCTTGAAATAACCTTGAAAACAGCCACGCATCAAAAAACTAGTAGTGCCATTTGACTTCCCACTCGTAACGCTAAAGGACATGTGTCAGTTCGCCTTTTTTTTAAATCATGTGTCTACGAGATTTTTTACAATCTCAACTTAATCTTTGTAAAAACATTAGTTCAAGGTCTAAAATCTAAAACAATAATTAAATTCTTAACGAGTAGGATGAAACGATGAATAATTATTTCCATCTAGAATGCCCATTCGTTCCACTATGGGCATGACACGGACCCAATTGCACTATAAAAAGATTAACGTATCTAGGAGGAATATGATACAAAAATATGTCGAAAAAAATTGATAAATAAAATCATAATTGATGCTGAGCATAATTGGTTACATTTTTGTTAAAAAAGAAGCGCCATTCGAGTGTTAAAAAGTTATCAGAACGAAGTGATAATTATGCAAATGAAATTCGAAGTATGCACCCGAAATGTTTTACGTTTAAATGTTCTATTTTATAAAAACGGCACATGATTTCAATTGAAAATTAAATAACAGCATATATAGTGGTTAGCCGATAATAAAAAGTATAAACGAATAAACAAAATTACCACCGGTTAGACGAACGATTATTCATTTTTCATTTTACAATTGAACCGACGTTTGAAAAATGCTTCCATGGAGAACGATCGGAATCGTATCGAAGAATTTTGATAACCGTAATAAGAACGATAACGGGACGGTTATATTTTGGCGTGTGGGAACATTCGTTCAGCTGAAGTGACGCTAAGTGACAGTTTTATTACTGTTGAACTGAATTGAGCTGGAACTGCGACCTTCGAGTGAAAGAATTGAGTGTTAAGGTCTGTCCGGAACACTTGGGGGAGAGTGTTGTAGCAAGGTCACTCTCAAATCATGGACACAGGTTTCACCGGGACATTATTTTGACACGCGACAATTCGTCGGAACTAAGTTTCACGGTGGCATTAAGCGGTGTGGGTCGCCATTAACTGTGACCGATATACACTCTTGTATGCAATACCGGCAACGTATGACGAGTAGTATACATACATGACGTTTCAGGATGCGCGATATAACCGTACGAAAGGATATTTCGCAAGCGATCATCGTTCAAATGAAATTCTGTTTTTATGTACTATGCTTTCAGGCAATTTCGATTGAATCGTGTGAATTAAAAAAACACGTTCGATGATATTCTACTCGATCGAAATAAATTTTGAAAATATCACCATAAATGTTGTAGACTTATTAAATAATAGTGAATTATTTAAACAGTTTTTATTAACAGCTATTATATACAA